CCACTACGTACTAATGGGGAAATCAGCAAGAACTGGCAGGGCTTCAAGCAGCGCTTCGAGTTGTTCTTGACCGCGTCGGAGACCAGTGGCAAACCCCGAAAGGAAGCAACAAAGACTGCCCTCCTCCTAAGTATCGCAGGTGAGGAAGCCATTGAGATCTTTAACACGTTCGAATACCAGCAAGAGGAGGATAGCAGCGATTACAAAACAGTCGTGCAGAAGTTCGATGCATATTTTGCCGGACAGAGTAACGAAGTGCACGAACGCTATGTATTTCGCTCAAGGATCCAGAAGCCGGGAGAACCCTTCGAACATTTTGTGAGGGATCTGAAAACGCAGGCAGCATCGTGCAACTTTGGCAGTCTTAAGGAGTCGATGATCAGAGACCAGATCGTTTACGGGACTACTGACAGCAACCTTTCGAGAAAAGCTGTTAAGGGACAACAATTTGACACTACAAAAGGCCGAGCTGGCAGGTAAAGCCGCAGAAGCAGCAGCGGGACACCAAGAAGTTTGGGCACGCGAACTGAAAGAAGTAGATCCGGTAGGCGTGGCTCCTATTGACAAAACTTTTTCGCCAGGACCCGCCTTTTCTAAGTGTCTGAGATGTGGGCGCAAGCATGCACCACGAAGCTGTCCAGCGTTCGGGATGAAGTGCCGGAAGTGCCACAGGCGCAACCATTTCGCCATATGCTGCAAAACAACCACGGAAGTTCACGAGCTCCGAAGCTCCGAAGACAACTTTGACATTCTGGACGTGTCAAATTTAGGCAAAATTCCACGCGACTGGACGGTGCGAGCTCAAATCAAGAACCTGCCAGTAAACCTAAAAGTCGACACGGGAGCACAAGCAAATTTGCTGCCTTTGAGCTGCTACCTCAAGATGCGCCCTCAACCGCCGCTGAATCCAAGTAGCGCGGTGTTACGTTCGTATGGAGGAGGGGCAATTCAGCACGTCGGGGTCATACGTACCGAAGTCACACTGAATGACTCGACCTCAGTACTGGATTTTTTCATCGTGCGGAAGGGGCGTCAAGCGATCCTCGGACTTCAAGCATGCCAACTCATGAGGCTTGTGCCGCGTGTTTACAGCGTGTCTAAAAGCAACCATGAGTGCATCTTTGACGAATTTCGCCATCTGTTCACCGGAACCGGGTGCGTGCAACGAGCATACAAGATGGTGTTACGTGACGGCGCCATACCCGTCGTCCAGGCCGCACGGCGTGTTCCAGTGGCCTTACAAGAACCCCTCAAGATGGAATTGGACCGCATGCAACGAGCCAGCATTATCACGAAGGTGACCGAGCCTACAGACTGGGTGAGTCCTGTCGTTATTGTTCGAAAGAAGGACGGGAAAATCCGAGTGTGCATTGATCCACGAAACATAAATGAGTGCCTAAAAAGAGAACATTACATAATGCCTCGCAGAGAAGATATAGAAGCAGACCTCGCCGGCGCGACAGTTTTTTCACGCCTGGACGCAAACTCGGGGTTTCACCAGATCCCTTTAGATGACGAAACCTCCCGAATTTGCACCTTCGCAACACCATTCGGCCGCTACCGGTTTTTGCGCTTACCCTTTGGTATAGCATCTGCTTCAGAGGTCTTCCAGAGGACCCTGAATGAAATTTTTGAAGAACTTCCTGGGGTCAGAGTGTACGTGGACGACGTCCTTATCTGGGGTGCATCCATAGAAGAACATAATGAGCGTCTTAAGTCGGTGCTACGAGCAGCTGAACGCGCCGGCCTTACATTCAACCCAGAAAAGTGCACGTTTGCGGTCGAAAAGATAGAATTTCTCGGGGACGTGATTGACAAAAACGGCATCAGACCAAGCCCATCCTTGATAAATTGCATGCTACAAATTCCCACACCAGTTGACAAGCTTGCGGTGCAACGAATGCTGGGCGTTGCCAACTACTTCAGCAAATTCTTGCCGTCACTCGCTGAAAGAACCACACTACTGAGGGGCCTGATCAAAAAGGACCGAATCTTCGAATGGACAGATAACCACAATCAGGAATGGAAGCAGCTATGCGACAGTTTGAGCAAAGAACCTTTGCTATCTATCTTTGATCCTCAGAGAAAAACCAAAGTGTCGTGCGACGCATCACGGAATGGGGTTGGATCAGCTTTGCTGCAATACCACAATAACGCGTGGAAGCCGGTCGCGTACGCGTCACGAGCGCTCAGCGAAACTGAGCAACGGTATTCACAAATTGAAAAAGAGACGTTAGCATTGCTGTACGGCTGCGAAAGATTTCATCACTTTATCTACGGCCGCAATGTCATTGCAGAGACCGATCATCGGCCCTTGATTACCATTGCTCGGAAACCAATAGGCGATATGCCGCCAAGGCTACAGCGTTTCTTCCTCCGTTTGCTGCGTTATGACCTTGACTTGCAATTCATTCCAGGGAAGCAGCTCGTCCTGGCCGACATGCTCTCGAGAGCCACAAGCAGGCAAGCGGGTGACACCGACAGCGACGATGTAGAAGTCCACGCGGTAAGTGTGATGTCTTCATTAGTGAGCGACCGAACATGGAAGTGGTTGTCAGCAGAAACAGAGAAGGACGAAGAGCTTAAAGACGTTCTGAAAAACCTAGAATCTGGAGAGGATATCAAGGGCCAATGGAGGCCATTTCAAGCAGAACTATCTCAAGTTAACGGTGTACTTTTGAAAGGCTGTAAGGTGGTAATACCGGCTTCTATGAGACGTGAAATGCTAGATCGCATTCACCAAGGTCACTTAGGTGTCAACAAATGTAAATCAAGGGCAAGACAGCTTGTTTTTTGGCCTGGAATAAATCAAGATATCGAATCGATCTGCCATAAATGTGCACCATGCAGAAAATACGCATATAAACAGCCGACAGAGCCTCTTAAGATGCGCCCGGCGCCACCCCAGCCTTGGTACCGTGTAGGGGCGGACCTTTTCGAATATGGCGGTAGAACATACTTGTGTGTTTATGACGCGCTCTCCAACTTTCCCGAGGTGGAGTTGCTCAAAGACACATCTTCGAGAACTGTCATAGAAGCAGCAAGTGCCATCTTCGCCAGATATGGCATACCAGTTGAACTTTGTACCGATAATGGGCCGCAGTTCACAAGTCATGACTTCGCTGCATTTTCTCAGCTGTACGATTTCAAACACGTCACTTCAAGCCCGAGGTATCCACAATCAAATGGCCTCGCAGAAAAAGGAGTACAGGTCGTTAAGAGAATACTAAAGAAAACTACTGACGCGAAACAAGACTTTTGGCTTGGATTACTCGCTTACAGGACGACACCGATGGAGGGTGCGCCTTCACCTGCCGAGGTGTTACAAGGAAGGCGACTGCGAACGACGCTGCCGGATGTCCGTTCCGTTCCAGAATTTCCGGTCCGAAAGCATCGCCAGAGCAACGCCTGCAGGAGGACCCTAGCGCCGCTGGGAGCAGGCGACACCGTTCGAGTTAAAAGGGGGTCATGGTCGACCAAAGCACGAGTCCTCGAGCCATGCAATACTCCCAGGTCATACCATGTCGTCACAGAGGAAGGAAGGGTCCTCCGCCGCAACCGCCAGCACCTACTTCCGACCGGTGAAAGCTTTCGAAGGCGCACGTGTTCCAGCAGCAGTGAGGACTTCGCCGAACAAACTGCAAATTGCAGTAGTGGGCCCGCAGCTCTCCATGCACCCAATACGGCAGGCATCGCAACTTCGAGAAGTTCGACAAGACTGCGGCGGCCACCACAGCGGTTGACCTACGACAGAAACTTTGTGCAAGTGTCGTGATGAGCTTCCCAGTGGCGTGCAATGAACGATGTTTCTTCTGTGCACTATTCAACCCTGTAACTCCCCGTTAGAAAAATATTTAACTGTTCTGTTTTTGTTTACTCATACGAAAGAGGATGTATCGGATGATATCGCTACTGCATGTACAACACGTGGCGATCAGTCAAGATATCTTTGGCTTGCCCTCGCCCGTTCCACCTGTATATAAAGCATGGCACAATAAACTTAGGATCCTTCCCGTTACGCTCGGACTGTCAGGATGGCCCAACGACCACACACGATACAGCTGGTTAATCAGGCATTTTTGTATTTTAAATGTATCTGAATTAGGAGAGCCGTGCTATAGTTTTATGTTATATTTTGAGCTGTTTTCATCATTAATATTCAGTTAGAGATGACTATGTATGAGAGAAATTGAACCGATACACCACAACTTGTTATTTTTTTTTTGCCAGTACTCCTTTGACGGGATACTGACACAAAATTTCGTGGCTGAGACGGCCTGCGGGAGTGATTCTTGTGAACATGTGTATATCACCTGTGAAATATCAATAGCAAATATGGCTTGGAAGGTATTTTACAGCAATTTTGGAGGTGTTGACACCATCAAAAGGGACCCCTTGGGGACCCCCTTACTTCCTTCACGTCACCATGCTGCAATCAATAGAAAGAGTTATGGTGACGTCAAAGCGGCCATTTTTCTTTTGCTGCATTTATTCCAGCAGTCTATACTTCTGGGCGACCGGTCGTGAATGCGTGATATGACTACCAAGACCCCAGAAACACATTAAAGCAAGAAAACCCGAGGCCAAAGTTTTTGTGTCAGTACCACTTTGAGGTCAAATTCCAAAAGATGAACAGATTTATTTAGCAGATTTCATATTGATATAAAAGAGGCTCAACACATGCAAGCTTAAGAAATGTGTGGTTCTGCTGTCCTCTTGTATTCATCTTGTGTATCTTTTTTCAAGCTGCACCATAACATTTTTGAGATTTGGTTTATTTCACTATACAAATATAAAAAAAGTTGAAGCGCAAGAAGGGAGAAAAAAAAAAATGAACCATTTATGGTGAGGATCTGCAGTCGATGTTTGATTCAAGTTTCTCAGGACCAATAGTGTGACTGGTTATTTTTCGTCTTAACATTTAGTGGTGTAATTATGTTTGCCATTCTGCTGTTCCATTTTAGTTTTCATCTCTCACTCAATTCTTAATGTATTTTTAGGTTGAAAGCTTGGCGCACTGTCGTAGCACGGCGATTGGTGGAAATGAGCCATCGGATGCAATTCGTGTTGTCAATGCCTTGCTAACACAAATTGACATTATGAAAAGGTATGTGCAGAACACAGCTTCTTCTTCTTCTTTTTTTTTAACTACTGCATGGGAGAACAAAGTTGTTTGCTTGGTGTGTAAGTCACTATATTTAGAAGCAGTCAGTGCATGTATAGGGATACAGTGCAATGGAAATGTAGGGGAGGGTGGTGAGGATTCAGTGGAGTGATGAGGTTAAGATAAACTGAAAAAGAAGGGAAACCTGGGCTAGTTGGTGATAGTTCATTTACGATAACTAACAGTGCAAAAAAGATGCAAAGTATAGGACAACACGAGTGCTGTCTTGTTTTATACTTCGTCTGCGTCTTTCTTGCGCTGTGAGTTATCTTAAAAGAGGTTAAGGGGGGAGGCTACCCTGGAGACCGAACTTTTTATTTTTTAAGATATCTGGATGAAACTGTCAGGGGTTGTTCACTACAATAAAACTAGCACAACTGCTAAGTTTCACGAAGCTGTGTTTCTTAGTTCCAGAGTTATTGAGGTTTAACTGGGTGCTTCACATGGGTGCCTGAGGAAGAGTCGTGAGAAATCCCAGGACATAGTAGAAAGCTGAAATTCATTGTGGTCATTCCTTGATAGCTATCCCAGTGCGCTACAAAGCCGTTTTTTTAATTTCCCCCCCCCCAAAATTTTCACGCAACTTTGAATTTGATGTAACCAGTAATGACCAGATTCATCAAAAATTAATTGTTTATTATAAACTAACAGCACCAATTTTCAAAAAAAGGAGCTTGTTACGCCCTTGCAAGGTCATTCAGGAACAGAATAAAAAAAACGGCACACAAATCTGATGAACGGTTTTCGAGTTCTTGCTTTCCTCAGCACCACAACTAGCAAAAAAATCCGTTCTGAGAAAACAGGCCGAGAAAGTTCAAAACACGTGTTTTCTTCAAAAAGCTCCAGCACAGTAGCTAGAAGTGTCCTGGCGCACTCTTTTCTTCTTTTGCCTGGCCTCTATCTTCTCTTGGTGTCTTTTAGAATTCTTTTTTAGGCGTAAAGCGTCTTTTTCACGAGCTCGCTGGATGGCCAGATAACCTGGTTGAAGTCCAATGGAGTCCGATATCACTTGGGTTGCTTTGCAGCAGCCGTCATTGTAGCGCAGCACTGCTTCATGCAGTGCTGTTTCTACCGCGATCAAGGATGAGTGTTGTTCCTTCGGCATCAGAGACCACAGAATGGAGTGGAATGATTCTGATGCATTTTGCGTCTTCGCTCCCAGGCAGCGCTGAAGAAGCGACTTTTGTGACAGTCTTTCGTAGATGGGCAGCATAGCTGCAGCGACATAGTCCGGTAGGCTGTGTTTATGTTTTGGCTGTGGCTCACGCTTTGCCTCTGCAGCTCTATGGCGGCACCACGATTGAGCCCCCTCTGGGCAAAGTTCATGGTGAGGGTCCTGGTCAGTCGATGTGACGTGGTGATATGTTGCCATCACTGCACGCTGCATGGCTGTTAGGTCAGTTGAATTGTTTCTCAGGGCCCAACCATAATATCCTGTCAGCTTTTCAATGAGGGCTTTAGTCAGCTTCCCCTTCCCACTCAGTGGCTTATCACTTTTCTGCACAATGTTTCGAAGAGCACTTCCAATCCTTTTCTGAACATGGTTCAGACATTCTTCTTTTACAATTGACACTAGCCCGTACACATTCTCTTCTGTGAGGGCAGCGAAGGTACGGCTGTCTCCGTCGGACACAAGAGTGGTGTACCGCAGGCCATGCTTGGATACAGACCGCCCAAAGAGAGTCAAGCCTGCCTCCACTTCCATGCTTCCCGATTTTGCGTCTGTGTTTGTCTGGCAAATGTGGTGCTTCTGCCAGCTTTCGTATGCTGCATCTCCAGGTTTGGGCCCTGTTTGGCATCCAAGGCAGTGGTTTGAAAGAACTACAGCATCCAAGATGAGACCTGTAAAGAAGTCAATTACCGATCCCACTCCGATGTGTGATGTGTGACCCCGCTTATGCCATGTGCCATCGTACACTACGGTGATGTCCTTGCAGAAGCTGGGGTCCATTTCTTTATATGTTTTGATCACTGCTGTGGCAGAATCAGCATAAAACTTCTCCAAAGCGGTGGCCTCTGGCTTCCTGAACGTCTCTTTCAAGTGCTTTTGAAACGTCTTGTGGTGAAGACCTCTGTAAGAGACGTTCATGGCAGCCCAAAAGTCATTAAGAGCTGTTTGCCCCTTGCCTATTTGCTTTATAGCCATTATGGCGCGGACATTTACATCGAAGGCCTGCGTGTCCTTTTTGCAGGGTGATGTCCATAATTTATCGACGGTGCCACAAGAGGCGCACACGGCTTCAAGTTTTGTTGCAAGTCCAAGCTTGGTGCTCTCTCGAACAGTCATAGCACCTTTCAAACATTCTTTGCACACTGTGCGGCTGAGCACGACGTTAAAGATGTTCATTTGAATGAGCGAAAAATGTTCGCCCTCACTTATCACTGCAGGTGCAAGAGCCGGCTGCATCAGTTGAAATTTCTTCTGCGTCGCCGGCGTAGACTCGAGTTCAGCGCGAACGGCGTCACGACGTTTCGCATTCGCATCGATTTCTTTCTTCGTTAGGAAACGCGTCCGCAGATGAAGCGACGGTCCACTCACGCTCGATGGCGGCACCGATTCAGACGAAGTGCTGGGTCCGGCGATATCAGAAGCACTCGGTGTCACACTGGATGGCATCGATTCGGAGCACGTGTCGAGCCCGGCGATCTCGGAAACACTAGGTGCATTTGCGGCTCCAGCCACACTCGATGTGTCGGATTCTCGACTGGCGACAGCCGACAACACAGTTCCGTCGCTGCAAGCGTCTACGCAGTCGGCACCCGCAGCAGAATAGCGGAATTTCGATGATCGTACAAGCCGCATAGCGCGCCTCCGGGCACCGGACTTCCGCACTGACTTCGGCTTCGTTGCCAGCATCGCCCGCAACAACAAAGACGAAAGGCACAGAACTAGTGCAAAAAGAAAAAAAAAACGAGAGAAAATGATCGAAAAGATAGCACAAGGCGAAGAGCGGCTCGTAAGCAGACGTCTGTTCAGGCGGACGGAGCAGAGAGCAACAACGAAGCGAGCGCGCTGGACGCGCCATCGAGAGGAGTGACCGCCCCCGCTGCTGCACAGCAGCCAATGGCGGGCACGCTTTCTCCCGCGAGATATGAATGCGCTGCTCTAGCCAATCAGCGCTCCGCATCGCATCGCGGGAAAACGCCAATAGCGTCTCAACTGTGCTGCCGACGCCATTTTGCAAGGCGACGAACGAGAGAGAAAGAATTCACGGTCAAAACAACACTTGCGTGGGACGACTGCATGGTCCGGGAATGGGGCGCGCACGAAGTTTGGTTTGATTTCGGGATTTGCGCCTGTTTTGGACGCCGCGGCGGCCTCGAAAATAGTATTTTTTTTGCACTTTGTTTTGAATTAGGTGCTGATAATTACAGAATAGGTAGTTTATGAGACATACAACCCAAAAATGTGGTTTTTCAAAAACCGACTTTTTCGCGATTTTTCGGTTTTCAAGGGCCGCGTCCCCCCTTAAGATAGCTTTAGGTGTTGGTTGGTTTCGGGCCTTTTTTTTTTCCCTGAAATAAATTTGAATGCTTCAATAAGGCTTCTTGTTTTTTTTTCTCCTTTAAAAAATGAACATTTTATTGATTTGCTCCAAAACAATGCAACATTCATTGTATGGTGCTCGTGCGGAAACGTAGATGTTAGATGTGCTTGTGAAACCGAAATCGCACGAAAACGGACTACTTGGTATAGTAAGACATGTGCAAAGGTTTGCCCACGTAGCTTTGGCTGTGCTGCCACAGAAATTTGTTGCGGTGTATAGACATCATTTGGTGAGGCCTTCGTTCTGCTGTGGACGTAAAGTAGGCTGGTATTGGGCATTAAATGCCATGATTTCTGAATGAGTGCCAATTATCTAGATCTTTTGTAACCTATTTTTCGTGTCTGTGTGAGCATGCATGTGTGTGTGCATGTGTTCAAGTGTGGGATCTGTGTAAGCAAACGCTTTGTAGGCTGGATCCTCATGTTTTCTTCATCTAAAATCTTTGTGACTTGCCTAGGCCTAAAGAAATCTCATAAATGCTGTTTAACTTATCTTGCATGTTTTTACACTTGACTACATTGAATCTTGTTATAGTAAAGTCCCATTCAAAACAAGACTATTTCCATTATATCCAATATTCATTGTATTTTTTGTTACGAGCTGATATTGGCATGAAGCATCATTTATTTTATTGTTATACTAATTTGTTGTGTTTATGTTTGTTGTGGCGATATTCAGCTGAAGTTTACATTTTACAAATTTTTCTTAATGTTTGATAAATTTATTGAGGTTGTGCTGGCTTCTTCCAGTCATAATTTATTGTGAATTAAATGTTTGTATTTTTCCAGATACCCAAATGTTTTTATTCTTACAACCTCTAATATCAGTGGTGCCATAGACCTGGCCTTTGTAGACAGAGCTGACTTCAAATATCACCTTGGATATCCCAGCGCTAAATGCATCTCAAAGATTATTATGTCCTGCTTGAAAGAGCTTCACAGGGTAGGTTGTATTTTTGCATATATTTTGAGATGTCTGCACACTTAATATTTTCATGACAGGGGGGCACCAAATTGAAATGTGTGCCGTCTAATGTGCAAGTTTGGTGAAATCGCTATCTTGGGCTACACACACTCGAACCGACCCATTTTTCGTTGGTGTGAGATCTCACTGAAGCCTGTGTTTGCAGATGTTTCGCTTGCTTAGACTGCTTTGTTTGATATCATCGCTGCAACTGACTGATTCGTCGCTGTCTAAACCGTTTAGCAGCGCGCATTTGCCCATCCGATGCAAGAATGGCCTCCACATCTGTGAACGGTAGTGCTTCATCATTGGTACCAGTAGCAGCGAGCGTAGTATCATCAGCGAATTGCATACAGACGGAATCGCACTTGTTACGAGCAGCGGAGTGCGTGGTAGTGGACGCTGTTGTCCGCAGCTGCTGCCTCACTTTAGCTACAAGCTTCTGTTCATGCTTCAGTTTTAGCACGAAAGAATGCATGTAGTACAGCTAAAACTCTTTATAAGAGGCATGCACCGGGGAGCAATTTTTGTCTTTTATGTGAGATGCCTCATATAAGCAGGGTACCACATATGGTTTTTTCTTGATTTGATTGATTTGTGCGGTTTAACGTCCCAAAACCACCATTTGATTATGAGAGACGCCGTAGTGGAGGGCTCCGGAAATTTTGACCACCTGGGGTTCTTTAACGTGCACCCAAATCTGAGTACACGGGCCTACAACATTTCCGCCTCCATCGGAAATGCAGCCGCCGCAGCCGGGAATCGAACCCGCGACCTGCGGGTCAGCAGCCGAGTACCTTAGCCACTAGACCACCGCGGCGGGGCATACGTTTTTTTTTTTTCTTATCAACACCCATTTCAATATTGGTGCATTAGTGTCTCTTATGCTAGTTTGTCTCTTACATAAGTGTCTCTTATAAAAAAGGTTCGACTATATAGCTGTATATGTTATGTATAATTACACAATTGGTTTTTGGGTATTTTTGCTGAAAACGGCAGCTTTGGCTGCCGGCTAGCCGCTCTAGACAAGCATGATTCCGTCTGTACCTTTTTTCTGTATCCAAGATGCAGCACGGGTACATTGTTCTTGTCGGTTTTCTTGATACTAACAAAGTGCCATGAACAGAGGCATGACGATGGAGACACGAGGAAGTTTTTTCGATTAACTGACACCACCCTCTGCTTCCTCAATACAAGCGAGGATAAACGATGCAGCGTGAACAGATCACCACTGCACTCATCGCGTGGTGTACTTAACTGCAGACCTAGGATTTTACACCTAAATTGTTCCTCTTGCTCTGGTTTTTTTGTGCACCCGTACACAACACAGTGATGGCCAGATTATCTGTTCTTTGAATGTGCACAATTTCGTGCCATAACAGTCACATTTTATCGGAGAGAGGCACCTATTACATATACTACATTTAAGCATACTAAGCGTACAGATACAGCATGCGCCGCCCAAAGCATGATGGCAACACTGAGAACACACCCTTGACCCCTGAAGCTCACTGGATCGAGGGTGCTCCTGGGAAAAGGCGTATTTAATAATGCATATGTTATGATGTATTCAGTAAGATTTGGATAGATGTGCATGCACAAGACTGCTTTTGAGTTGACTGCAAAATGAACTGTGCACACTCATAATCTTTAGCATGTTCTGTCTTGTCTGAACATGTTCTGTGAGTTCACCCATCACATGCTTGCTATTGTTGACATGCTTCAGTATGTTCCCTCTTGTCTCAACATGTTCTGTAAGTTTATACACGACATGCTCACTATTGTTGACATGCTTATGAAGCTGCTCAAAAGCTGTACCTGAATACAAATAAAAACTTCACTCTTGTTCATAGATTGGGCTTGCTGCAGTTATTGCTTGATATACACTACAATTGTTTGTTGAGGCATTTTGCTTGCCATACTTGATGTGTCTTTGCTTGAAGCTCACTTTTCTAAGGACAAGGCATAAGAATGCCCAAAACAGATGTTCATCTTTAATTAAAATGTGGCAAATGCATGAAGAATAGTCACATAAAACAAAACGAAAAAACAATGCAAGGAAACTTTTTTAATTACTTGTATTAGTGTGGACATTGTTGGGCAAAACTTTAGAAGTGAACTTCACCCAAGGCCATCTATGGCGGTGTGTGGTACTTGCACAGATAGTTATCATGAAATGTTGAAAAGAGGTGCTCATTGCATTTGCTTTTTTATAACTGTGTGCTGAAACCAGGTATATTGTATTGCTCTTTGTTCCCTAATCATTGTTTAATAAAAAGTGAGTTGTAAACACCGAATTTCTTCCTCATTCTTGGCTCCTGCCTAAAAAAGTTACTGGCTGTCATTTAACTCAGTCATTCAGTGTTGATTTAAGTAATTTAAACGGGAACCTCACACTTGAAAATGACACATGTTCACCAAAATGATGTTTTTGCTGTGTTGGCTCTAGACAATGCTCATCCATAAATGTTTAAAGGGACAACCAAGTGAAACGCAGAGTCAATTTAGCATTATAATTTTTTTTTCAGAACTCTATCATCATTATTCGTACCATCATAAGATCATTATTAAAAGAGAAAATGGTCCATGTTTCATTTTTGATGTTCATGTTAAAACTTTAGGATCTGAATTTGAGGGTGGTGTCACAAATTTCACTTTCTTTTCGGATTTCAGGCACGTTGGCTCTATAAAATTTTCTAAAACATTGTCTGTTACATATCTAACTTTCTTGTAAAACAATGTAATTAATGTTTACCAATAAAAGATTGTGTAGGTCCCAGTACACACTATCGGCACCTAAGATGTCACGTTGAGTTCATGTGGGCACCTCAATGCGGTGTTGCCGTGCTTTTTTTCTTTTGCCATGTTTTCTTGTTCACTAGGCATCTTCTCACTGCTAGAGGGGTGCTTTTGGTATTGTAAATGTGTTATTTATGAATACAAAGACAAAAAACTTCTTTTAGTGTTTGTTTACGAGGCCCCTAGCAAAATGTATTTTTGGTGTTACCATTGTGCAAGAGTCTACAATGAATACGTAGTTGTGAGAACTTTTTGAAACGATACCGCAGTAGCAGAGTCACGTATGTTTGATGATCCAAAAGAGACTTTTGCTCGTTTCACTGTTTCCTTCACTGTGCTCCGTCCACCAAACTCTCCTCCTGACTGAGTGCTCCTACCAACGTTGTTAGATTCAGTCAGTTGGGTAAGCACGCATGGTTTCAGTGAAGAAGAGCTGGCCTCTCCCATATATCATGAGAGGTGACGCTGCAGTAGCGTTGGGATTGTTGAGCAAGCTTTGTCTGCTACGTCTGTATATGGAACAGTGGGAAAGCCATCTTCGCGTCACTGAAGTTTTGCTAAAGGGGCTTCAGAAGGACTGACTGAGTAATACTACTTAAACGTAAATGGGAGCTTCACCTGTACCTACCCAGTATTATATTATTCTGTGGCTGCATTGAATAACGTTCATCCTCGTGTGTTGCTTAGGTTGATTCCAAGCAGACGAACTCGTGGTAATTGCATATGGTGATTGCTTCAACCATCACATAAAGTTTACCTGTAACGATACATTTAGAAACCATCGTACTTCTTCAACATTATAATGGCAGTACACAAGATGCACTGCTATATTATTTCACGATTGAACTCCACAATGCAGTTGTGCTTCATGTCAAGAGCTTGCACATCACACAATCTAATATTACCGGCATATCAAAAAAAATTTTTTACCTGAAGATGCCTTGCGTATGCAATCCTCTTTGATGTAATCGACATTTTATGACCACGTATGGAAGAGGCATGCAAGGTGGTAAAAATATCGATCTCATAGGTGACCTCATTGGGTGTGACAGCTCACTTTCATTTCATCACATTCCACAGTAGCTTACCCTTTCTTGAGTAAGACTTGTTGTTGGGTGAGTTGTTTAGTGACAATAGGGTACATAGTAGTGCAAGCTTAGAAAACACAGATCAGAGAAAAGAAGTAGGAGGGAGCAGAAAGGCCGGGTGTTAAACTAGAATTGTTTATACGAAGAAACAGGCCACCAGATTACAACTCTCTGCGCATGCGTGCATCAAAATCGGTAAACACTGGTCATACTCATTTATCAAAAAGCTGCAGCTCATTTTGGTAAAGTGAAACTGATGTATCACTAATGCAACCCCTGCTTTGCTTCCAAGTGTGGCTGTTTAATGCAATAGCGTTAAAGTACTCACTTTGCGGAAATTTCGCTAGCGGCATTGGCATGGCCAATGTTGATTGTGAACGACAAATCATCTTGTGCTTGACAGAAAAATAGAGAAAGATGCAAATAAAATTAAAAATTTCAGGTCCAAGTGAAGATTGAACCCAGGTTGCTTGCATGTCAAGGAAATGTTCTACCACACAACTGTGTGCCTTCTTGGATATGCTAATAAAATAACTTCCTCTGCTTGGAAATGGAGTGAAAATCGTGTTCACAATTTTTAGGCACATGTGTCCTGCATACAGGCTTCACAATACAATGTACGATATTACAGTAATAATGCGTGTGCAATCATATATTGCCATCAGGCGTCGTATCAAAATGACTGGGTGGTTTAAAGACGGCACCCCATTACAAAAGGCGCCCAAGTTACTGCACATATTCACTTAAGACCATGTAGTAGGTGCATTGCATGTTCAAAAAGATATCACGTGCATAACTGCTCGAGGTTTAAAGCATGCTCTCCATTACAGAGAGTGCAGCCATGTGTGAAAGCTTCACTGGCACATGTCACTTTCAACTTTATCAATTACATTGTAGTAATTCAAAATTTAAACTTCTTAAATAACATCATACAATAAAAAGTATGCACTAAGTGGTTGAAGTACGCACTAAGGACAGGATATCGCTATCGTGTTCAATTCTTAAAGGTAAAGCTTAAGGGTCCACCAATTTTTTTACTTCTCTCCCACCCCCCCACCATCATTGTCCTGCTGCTGGTAAGGTGCACTGTTCGTGCTGTTCTCACTATGTAGTGCTGATTTGCTTCAGTAGTACAATTATCAGGAAAAATATTGATGCGCTCCGCTGTTCATGGTAGCACATTTTTTATGGCGTGCATGCTGTTGACATTTTTTGCTAAATTGCGAAGTGTACTGAGGAACAATGGGTTTGTTGTTACTTATGAAAAAGAAAGACTGTGACTTGTGAGAGTATTTTCATTATTCTCCCTTTTCAACTTTATGAATGTTTGCTGCAATGTGTTTTTTTTTTTCTTCTGCAGGTGTCTGTCATAAATGAAAACATGAGTCTCCTTGAAAGCAATGATGATGAGGGGGTTGATGGATTGCAGTCCTTGTTCAACTCCTTGTGCCACAGAGCTGTTGGCCTGAGTGGAAGACGGTTGCGAAAACTGCCTTTCATAGCTCATTCCATCTGTACTGTGGTGAGAGCTCTTTTCCTATTAAACTAGACATGTTGACGGTGTCATATGAGGGCATGCTTTAATCTTTGGTAAGCATGTGTCTTATGGTTTTGCTTCCTTGATTTTACTTCAGTTTTGTTAGCAGGTTCTGTCCATTTCCCTATTTTTGTATGCAACTTAGAAGCGTGGCGGTTTGGGCTAGTTGGTATGACATGACGATTGTTATTTAGCGCGAGCTAGGAATGACGATGCTGTCGTCTTGTCTCTTTATCGTCATTCTGAGCTCATGCTATAACAATAATTTTGTTATAGAAATAGAAGTCTTAACGAAACCTGATTTTACCAAATTCTCAGTCTAATGAAAAAATTTTCATTCCCCGGCAGGTAGTTATAGAATTCAATGTTGTCATAAACTCAGATTAATACAGCTTTCATGGCACTGAATTCGATATAATGAAATTTTTCCCGAAATAAAGGAATAAAAATGCAGGAATTTCTTTCCAATTTTTACACATACAGCTTCTCTTAAAATGTAGGCTGCAACGCTTTTACATTAAATCATCTAGCCACCCTGGGTCATGACACTAGTTATATTTTGACGAGGTTGCATGCCACAGTAGGTAACACTCTTGCATATCAAATGGTGCTGGACGGTAGTGCTTTATTGTCTCTGCAAATACTGCCAGAGCAACATGGTAGTTGCTTTCATTATTTAAAAGCTTTATGCGACAAATGGCACTGATTTTCTCTTTGGAACATTCTTGCTGGGCGTGCTTGCCGTTAACTGCATTCATTCTCCCTGTCATTGAATATAAGCAGCTTGTTGTAGCTTGACTTGACGGGATTGTCTATCTTGCCTGTATCGCTGGACATGAGAGGAATTCTTGTTCAGGCTACACTCGGTGACGTTTCACATGTGCAGGCATATAGTATTTGTAGCAAATAAAATGCCACGGTTGGTTTTGAGCAAAGCCACGTTAAAATTTTTAAGTTTGAAGGACTCTAAAATTCTTTTATCGATTTTATCAACTTCTTTATTTAATGAAATTATTCGAGCACCCTCACCACTTCAGTAAATCGATTTTAAACTGTAGCGCTTTATAAATTACTTTTATTTACGACTCCTGAAATGATTATAGGCACACTGCTGTTAATAGCACTGGCAACTTCTTGGGATAGCTGGTAACAGCATGCACTTGGTTTTGCATAAAAGGCCTCTTCTGTTTCTTTTTTTTTTCTTTCTTTTTCACTTTGTGAAAGATGATTGATTCTTTCTGTTACTAAATGAATAAACTACATACTATTTTATACTTAATGAAATGCTTGAAAAGATCTGAAACAGCCAACACTATGTAGTGTACATATTTTGTAATGTCTATAAAAATAAGCACCTAAGAAGATGTAAGTGTTTGTAATTAGATTAGTGATTTCATTATATAAAACATGTCTTTCTAGAATGTGTCACTGTGCCAATAATATACCGTATTTCACTGTTATGCTGCAAATTGTTCCCAAGAGAAGGCACGTGGCATCATGCTGTCTAGTACTAAATCAATTCAAAGAGCAACTAGAATTTGACTTGGGGCAGTTCAGATGAAATGATCATACTTCCTGTTAATGGAAGCAGGCATAGGATTGTATTGTAAAGTGTCCGCGATAGAAATAAATTGGGGAAGAAAGTGGATTGAAGTAACCATTTAGGGTAAACAGTCTTCTCTAAACCTTCTTGTACGCTATCTTCTTGCATATCAAAACACCCGTATAGTTACTATGAAGTGCATTCTTCCTTTCTAATATAAGAATAATTAGTTTGTCTTAAGGTGCTCGCACTTACAACAGTTTTTACTGTGAATTATGAGTAGTTTTCATAAAGCAACTTGGCCTTTGTTTCATGTATTCTGACCTTGCCTTCTTTATGCATGACGTGTTATTGTGATCATGAAATTTCATGCTGCACTACTCTTATGTGCTTCCTCATTTTCCCGCCTTCCATTCCGTCCAAGAGTGGCCCTTTCCACACGCTCATTATTTGGATTCTCTCTGAACACCTGTCACAGCTCAGTGGAACCTCACATTACCCTGTTTACAAAAGTGTGCGAGTGTATAAAGCAGCCAAACTTCGATATAAAAAAACAAATATTTATAACAAAATACTGGAGACAACAGAGTAAATACAGGAACGAAGTTTATTTGGGCTGGTTTTACTGTTACTTCAAAAGAATACTTTGTTGCTACATGCAATAATATCAAAAATGCAAAAGTGCCTCAAAATTTACTCTAGTTGTGAAAATGTTGAATACAGTCACCAGCTAATTTTTCAGATGCCGATTTTTTAACCTCCAAGGCTCTTTGAACATTGCCAACTAATATTTGCATAAATGTGTATGTACTTTCTCTCACCCCATCAAAGTGAAGAAGGCTTCAGTAGTGAAGCCAAAATGTCTTTTTAATTTATAATTTTTGTTTTGGTCGGTACCCATTTTATTGCAGTCTGGCAATAACTGAAGCTTTATACGATATGGGTTGTTTTGAGTGCAGATTATGCATGCGATACTGGAAACTTAAGGCAGCCATAAAATAAAATTCCAAATTGTTGCAAAGAAGTGTATATGGACAGTTCACTGAGTGACATACACTAAATATCGTTGCTCGTGTTGCCCAGAGTGGCTATGCAGTGGTGGTGTTGCTGTTGCTCACTGTTGATGCTTATAGCAAATGTAACTCTAGCTGGGGAAAATACGTAGAGTGACATGTAGTATCTAACTTTAGTCATACTACCACTGCTGTTCTATTTGGCTACAGATTTAGCAATAAAATTAAGTGGCATGGCTACTTTTGGCAAATTTCAGCTTGAGTTCTGGCTATTTCCAAATGTATCCAATGGTAACTTTGAGTTGCAATGTGTTTAAGTAGATAAATTAAATGGCTCTATTTATACTCTGTGCTTAACTGATATTCAAGACTGCATGACTGTAGACTCAAATGCACATACATGCATTGTGTTGGGTGCTCTCTCTGTTGGATGGCAGCAGGAACTCTGGCTTAGTTGAGCTAAATCACTACATTGCATTTCACAGAATCGTTTCCAAAGAAAATTCAGCAATCTTCAACTACTGCTGCGAAGTTTACAGCTGCTATAAAATGGGGTGCATTCACTCAAGCTAGCATGGCAGCTGTTAATAGGTGGCACCACTGCCGGTGCAGTGTGGTTGGGCTCATGAAAAAACAGTCTGTGTACAAGGGAATACGTCTGCCATGGTAAATACGAACCTGACATTGTACACACTGTACATTTCTGAAGATCAGGAAGCTTTTAAGCATTCTAGTGGTGAAGTGTCTTTAAAGCAGGGCTCCTAAACACGTGACCTGTGAATGTCTTGCCAGTGGCTCGACCTACACACCACTGTCTTCGTCCGATATATATTCTTTATTGCTGAATAAGTATTGCATGATCTTTCAACTTGCAATGAACAGCTACTCGCATAATAAAGGAAACTGGTGGGCAAGGCTGACGGTGTGCAAGCATGCTTACAACTTCTGCAATTGTTTTGCACTTCACAAGAAAAAGTTATCTGACTTTGCTAAATGGTACCTGAATATTTTCTTGCCTATTGTGATAAATAACTCTTCCTTTGAGTGAGCTACCAGACGTGACTGGTCTCAACCATTTTTCATGAGGCACTCATGCAGTCACTATTTGGTCAAACATAACCATGGAAGGAAAGCTTTTCATTTCAGAATCGATTTGTCTTGTGTATTCTGATGCCAAATATCCATCAGAAATGATCCCCTTGTATGATATATGATAAGGGCCCTTTGAATGGCACCATCAGCTTTTGTTTAACATTTTGTTGTACAGATTTTAATGATGCTTGAATAAGTACTGACATGAAAAATTTCGGACTGGCTTTTTTTTGCTGCATTATGTTGCTAGTGGCTTGCTATACGACACATTGCTTGCTATAGCACATGACTGATAATTAATTATGGTCAGGTAATTACCAGACAATCTCAGTTTGGGAGAGCTCTGAGAGCGACGAGGTGGCGAGTGCAACTAACCTCATCTAACTTGTGAATCTGCACACAGAAAAACGCCAGGCCTGCGCGGAAGGCACAGCACAGTCACAAAGAAAGCTAGATGTTGCAAAGAATTTCATGTTGCATTGTGAAGCATGTATACAGAATGCGTGTGTTTGTGAAGTATGAAAGCTACTTTCGCTGCATTTCCAAGCAGAGGATGTTCTTTTCACTGTTTTCACAAGCAGAGGCGCGACCATATGGTAGAACATTCGCTTGTCACGCAAACGACTTGGGTTCAATCCCCACTTGGACCCAAACAACCCTGGTTCGGTCCTCACTCTGCTCCAGGATTTTTTATCATATATTTATTTTATTCACATCATTCTCCTTTTTTGGTCACGCTTACATGCATGAGATGATAATTTTTCGCTCACAACCAACAGCAACGACGCCAGAATTTCTGCGAAATGAGCTCTTTAATGCTACCGCATTAAAATGCAGGAGCAACAATGATGTCATTATACTAGCTGCACAAGCTCGGAGCTTGGCCGCGGTGGTAACTCTAACTCTAACTTCTTTGAAGAAGTTAGAGGTCACCGTCCGCTCACTTTAAATGGTGCTAATGTCGCAAGCACATGAACTTCAACAATTGCATACAGTGGAACTACTCTATAAAAGACATGCAGTGGGGAGCAATACTTGTATATATTTTTTTATGTGTCTCTTAAGCAGGGTACCACGTACGCATTTTCTTATCATTCTTGTTTCTTTGTAAGCACACTGGTGTCTCTTATACCCAACTTTCTGTTACATCAATGCAAGATAAAGAAGTGTGACTGTAAATTATTTCCAAGCTGCATTGGCTGTTGAGGTTTGGTGGATGATACACGTAAATCAATCTCGCAGGCTATCTCAGCTACGAAATTTTGTGTCACTACCTCTTTAAATATGTGGAATAATATTTGACCCGAAATGAAAAAGGTCAGTCACTCAAGGAACGTTAAGGTCTTAAGGAACTACAGAGTCATTGCGGGCCATGCCCACGTTGGGACTGGAAGACCGTGGTCCCCTGCCCGTTCGTGGGTCCTTTGGAATGACATAGATATTTTAGTATGTTTGAATTTATGTTACGTGTAATCTCAAGCCACCAGTTTGTTTCTCGCGTCGTTCTTTTGCCAAAGTCGAGTTGCTCGTAGCGCTGTCGAAATGGCAGAACTCATCCAATCTGCGTGCGCTACCTTGCCAGGGGTGCCCACCGCGGTGGTATAGTGGCTAAGATATTCGGCTGCTGACCCGCAGGTCGCGGGTTCGAATCGCGGCTGCGGCGGCTGCATTTCCGATAAAGGCGGAAATGTTGTAGGCCCGTGTACTCAGATTGGGTGCACGTTAAAGAACCACAGGTGGTCGAAATTTCCGGAGCCCTCCACTACGGCGTCTCTCATAATCATATTGTGGTTTTGGGATGTTAAACCCCACGTATCAATCAATCAATTGTCAATGCCACAAGACGTAGATAGTTTAGGGTTAGAAATCAGACACATTATGCTGTCCAGTCTGTCTACATAAAATAAAAGTCAGTTTCGAGAACAGATGTCATATTGAAATAATCTTCTTGAGTGAAAACAGAATAAAAGGAACCATTGAGCTCTGATGCACACTCTTGATCTGAAAATTGTGTTAGGCCATCTCAGTGATCATACTGTGCTAAGCATGCATGAGCTTATAAAGATTCAGCATGCGGTCTGTTATCCAAGTATTTTCAGAAGGCTTCGGTAAAGAGGCCCTGAACTCCCTTTTTTTTGAAATTTCAAAGGCGAAGTGCTGGAGTTAAGCATTTTTTCATTCTGGTCTAGTTTCGATCCACTTATAAAGTTCGTTTTTTTTTTTCTGCTCTGCAGCGAAAAGAATAATGGTCTAGAACTGTCGATAATGATTTTTTTTTGTGCATATAGAAAGTGACGAACAAAGCAAGGTGTTTTAAGGGACATCAAAGGGGAATGGTGACTTAGTTCAGGTTGACAAACTACACTCTGAGAACTCTAGTGCCATATGTTTCACTATCGTGGTTCATTATTAGCAGAGAAAATCAAGGTTAATGTTTCCTTTTTAAATTTTGTGCCGAATTCTCCGTGAGTGATGTCAGATATTTCAAAATGTATCTTTCGTAGTTTCACGTCGTTGACTCGATGAAATTTTCTGGAACCTCGTATGGCAGGTCTCTGGCCCCCACAGATGAGAATGTACATCATCTTTATCAATTAGAAGCTACGTGGGACCCAGTAGATACCTTTGAAATATGTCACTTCATGGTGTTTGGTACGGGGATCTCAAGGTGGTTTCTCCACGTGCATTTTTTTTTTGTTTTTGCACTTCATCTCGTTCACCAAACATCATGTAAGAGGGCTGTTTTTGGGATTGTGAAATTGTACTTTACTAATACGCGAAAAATCATTGCGGTTTTTTGTGTTTCTTTAACAAAGTTCAACAAGTTCGCGTCTGTTTCAACAGCTGAGGCTAGCCGGCACTGCTATCCATTATCATTGCTGCTGATTTCCTATATCTGCTCCCATCCCCTGTTTGCAGAGAAGCCTTGGCCACAAGCAGGCATGGCACTGTCCACTGTGATGCGAGGGGTTTGTCCCCTGCATATATACTGCCTAATGAAGCACAGAAATATAATTTTACCAGATGTTCAAGAAACAAAGTAACAATGCTAATATATGGCACATAATTTTTATTGTTTGCAAAAACATCAGGATTTTTTGAAATATCTCTGTATAAATTATGGAATTAAACTTGTAGGTCACCAAGAGATGAGGAATACTTGTTTATTAATTAGAGATACGCTGCAGACATTAGTGGCTTCACGCATTCACGTTGCATCTTGTGTTTCTTGGTAGCTTTGAATCTTCTGCAACAGAATTATTCAGAACAGTATTCAACACTTATGTCCATCTACCTGCGGAGTACACAGGAACTAGATGTAGCAAAGACATCAGGGCAACAAAATATGTATACATTTTTACATGGAGGGCACCATCTAAGTGTGGTTGGAACCTAAGGTGGTGTCAGGAGCTCTCTTAGCCAATGCGATGTTTTTTGCATACCACCTTGTCTCTGGTGGTATTGTGTTATAGTTTATAAAGATTATGAGAGAATGCTATATTTTTTATATATAATAAAGAAAGAGTGGTTACCCTTTTTCACTTGTATTAATTTTTCAGGACGGTGCACTGACGCTAAAGGCGTTCCTGCTTGCCCTGTCTGAAGCTGTCGACCGCCAGTTGCAAGAAAAGAAGGAGATGACCAGTTGCATGGATGCACGATAACACCTCTTCTGCACAGGCAGAACGCCCTAGTTTTATTTCTGGACAAGTGTCTTCCAGCTGTTAATAAAAATATTATTTTCTTTTATGCAAGTACTGAAGACATAAATTCTTTAATATAATAGCGATATAACAGTTTATATTTTTTCCAAGCGAGTTATCCGACTGGACATCGGAAATACGCAGATAGTTCCACAGGAAACTGCAGTGCCCTATTCCACCTCATTTGTTAGCCATATAGTACACATTCCAAACCAATCAATGCTCTATGCGTATCTACTTGGAAAGAATAGGGAGCCTACAGCCAGTTCTGAAACATCTGTTTGCAAATTTGTGTTATGTGTATTATTTTGCTACATTGATTTTATGTACTAGTTAGAAGAAAAAACCCAGCAGATAATATGTGAAACAGTAATTTATTCTGCTGCATTGAATTTTGACACAAATTTGGCATTAAAAAAAAAAAAAACCTTACCATCGCTACAGTAGTTTGCAAAAGGATGCTTTGTCTTCGCTAAACATTATATGTGCTTTGCAGTTTGTTGTTCATCCATATAGAAAGCTGCGTCCATCTTCCTATAGACTCTTACCCAAGCAAGTGTTATAGATATAGGTGGTAGATATAGGTGGTATAGATATAGGAGATGTGTGACAAGTAATGGCTGTACACAGAACTTACATACTAATGGTAGCAGAGTACAATTTGCTAATCAAAGTGGTCATGACAACAAGTAATCATGATTTAAATCATGCATTGCACGTTAAACTGTATATACATCGCACAGCCACCTTGCAGAATTGGAGAGAATTCAGTGGGGTTGAAAACTTGTATTTGAAATTTTTCATATTGCAGTTTAACCAAACAAATGCCTACCAATTATAACTGGAGACAAAATAATTCTGGACCGCCAGCAATAGCTCCTTCAGTGCAAAGGAAGCCAATGTCCAAGGTCGTGCTTCTGTGTACTGCAAGCACCGGAAGTGATTGCAGGAGCTGAAAATAAGTTGTGATCACTGTTTCATTGTTCACTTTTACAGCGAAAGCACTTACGAGACACCGGCGGCCACACCCGCCGGTGTGTCTAATCACTATTGCACGAAATAAGAAAAAAATTTAGTAAATAAAAAGCACTAAGAACACAATGAGATTTGAACCCAGGTCCCTGCGTGCCAGCCCTGCATTCTTCCACTGAGCCAAGCCAGTGCTTGAAACTGCTTTGCAAACTGGCCTTAGGCAGGCTTGATGTCGGGAAAGGAATTGTGTTAATTTGATTATAATACAGCGTTCTAGAACACCAAATGAACAACTAGGTGTTGCATAATGGGAATTGCACGAGTGGATAGTCTAATGCTCCAGCCCTTTAAAAAAGCTTGATCTTGTTCACATATTAATTGTGGTGCCTACCCACTGTGGGGTTTTGTATGGATTATGAAATCTTCTTGCATAATTTTTTATTGTAGTCAGCCACAGCATCAAAAAGTTGCACAGTGCATTGCAAGTGTGCAGTGGGTACCACACTTCCCCGAAGAATGCATGGCATTGTGAATGCCTGCCTACTACACAATGATGTTCAGCGTAGTGGGTATCCTGCAAGTGTGCTTGAAGCAGCTTCTCAAAGAGTGTTAAAAAAAGGGCTCTGAAAGCCAGCTCTTCCAGCTTTCGTTGTGAGGGTGCTGCATGTTCTGCACAGGCCTGGTGTTTTTTTTGCACATGTCATGTGCAGGCATGATTTAGAGATGTAGTGCTGTTATTGTGCAATGCAGAAACATTTGCATAACTAAATAGTGATACCCTCGCTGCATAGTTGTGTGCTAGAGCATGTGGTGCAGAAAATCAGATGTGGTTTTGGACTATTTCTGAGCTGCGAATGCGCGATGATGGTTTGCACTTCATGACACCACACAATGTGCGTCAAAGTGATGGTCATTATTGGTGGGAAGGGACCAGGGCAATGATTTCAAAGTGAATTTTTTAGGTGAATTTAGAGGCCAGTCAGCTTTAGTCTAGGTACTCCAAAATTCAGTCAGTTTAATCATTATAGTGCATGGTATTAATCGTTATTTAAAAAGTAGATGGATATGCCTAATGACCACATGGTAGAGTACTCGAGGATTGAAATGTGAAGATTTAGGGCTAATTCAGTGCACGTTTTTGTTTCCAACCTCTTCAGTTCATGTCAGATGGGTGCAATTTAGACGTGTAAACTTGAATCAGACTCAACGTTACCTTAAGTGGCCAGATTCACAGCAGCATGGTGCAGTTGTGTCTGGCAGTTGCTAATAGCCGCTGTTTTACTGAAAAAAGATTGATATATCATTTGAATTGATGAGAATAATAGCATTTGCATCAATATTGTGCTGAAAAATGGAATGTCAATTGTGTGAGAATGGCGAGGATGGTCAATGGCACCAAAAAACTTGCCCGTTCTAAGTAACCTTCACTACCAAGCACTAGAACAAGTAACAAGTGTATTGAACTGGAATAAATGTCATATCAGTTTAGACTTGTTTTGCAGCAGTTTTTATTGCACTATGGCTCAGGGCGAGAGAACAATCAAAACGCCGAAAATACAAAAAGTCAAAATGCCGACCCCACCGAGCTTATAGTGGAAGATAATGTATAATCGCAAGATAAAGGTTCCTCCGGCTTTGTACGATATGCATGCTCTTTCACCTTCGTTTCCAATAGCCATGTTCTCTTCGAATGTGGTTCAGCCATTCGAAACTCACGGCCATCTATGGTTGTTCGGGACTCGCCCTCGAGCTCTTGCATGGCTCACGTGTGTGTGTGTGTTGTGTTCATTTCTTCCTTTTATTTATTGTTTTTTTTTTCTTATTTTACATTAACTGTACTAGGACAGCTATTACAGAACCGGCAGGCTGTTTCTTTTCTCTCTCTCTCTGTCTCTCTATCCTTTTTACATATCTTTCTGTCGACGCACTGCTGCAGAGCTTTTTTTTTTTTTTCCTCCGCCCACTCTCCCTGTCGGGGATGATTGTTCGATTCCCAGCTACGGCGTCCCCATGTCGAGTGATGTGGTATGCAAGAACATCCTGTACTTAGATCAAGCTGTTCTAGGAAGGAATACGCCTTTCTTCCTCCATGCTGGTTCTACCAATATGGTATGTGTTCTGTGGTTCTACGTTGAAGAAACTCGGCTAAATTAAGGTCGGTGCACGCATAGAGTTTCTTAATAATTTTAAGAAACTTTATGGGTGCACGGTGCCGTTCTCGTGACGGTCGTCGGACTTCTCAGACCAGTTTACTTTGAAGAAGACGCACACTAAGAAGGTATAATAGTTAGTTTTTACAAATAAAGGAGTATTTAGTAAGTGTTATGGCAAAAGAATAATTCTGATGGCAAACTATTTCCCTGGGCAAACAGGTGTTCTGTGGGCAAACGCTATGGACATCGTCATCATCATCACAGTCCACCTTTTCTTTCTCCGTGCTACTCTGTATCCGTGCCACAGTCCTACATTTTATTGTGCTACAGGTGTTCTGTGGTGCTGCCGCGGAGTTTAGAAAGTGTAGCGGCATGTGGTTAATACGTGGTTGGCCCATTTCTTGCTTAGGAATGGTTTATGCCCATTGTGCACCCTGACTGACGAGGCTACACACGATATTGTGCGCGGAACACCGAATGAGGTGCGAGGCAACACAAAACGCTGCAGCCGAAGTTTACTTTTCGAGATGGATGAGGTAACTTTAAATGAACGCCTCTACGATTTGCGGAAACCCTTTAAACTCGCATTTTGCACTTTGAAAGAGCAAAAAGAGGCCTGGGAAGATTGTATGGAAAAAGCCCGACCTCACCTAGTTGCAATTGTCACGCTGCGGGAAATACAGGCTAACTGTTGGGCGGCGAAACTTGCGGGCAGTGATCTCTTGGCAAAGTACCCAGATGTTAGAGTACGGATCGTCCGTAGAGTGGAAAATGAGCTGTTCCAGGAGAAGGAAAAGTTGGAATCGATACTGTAAGTTGCTGAAAGTTTATTATTTCCTTAGAGTTTGTATTAGTTGCACAAAGAAGATTTCTCATACGCTAGAGGTTTCTTCTCAAGGTAGGCTATGTATTTCTTGTCTTGTTCTGGTTCACTTTCAGGAAAATCTTGAAGAAGTCTCAGAACGTTTGCAGCAGCGCTTGCCAGCAAGCAGTTGAAGCATACGACAATCTTGTGAAAAATCGAAGCATTGAAGATGTATGTTACAGAAGTGAAACTTGTCCGTCGGTGGCTGATATGCTGGAATGGATAACATATACAGAACAAAACTTTAGTAGCCAGTATCCTTTGACTGATATATACACAAAAGAGCGCAGTTAATGGAGTTTTGGTGAGTTCATGTTGAATAATTGCTATCGACTTGAAGATGTGGAATTTGCTGTCTTATATACGCCAATGTTAAGTAAAAAAAATCTTGACTACATTGATTGGTTACATTGAGTACTTGAAGGACTGAGTGGCTTGGTTGCCCATTATATGCAGTTTTACCGCGGAGTTGTGCTTTAGTGTTTAATAACTGGGCAAAATAATTACCTGCAACTATTCATATGATGTAAAGTGGGAGGAAGTTCAGGCAACAAAAGATAACTATTTTGTTCAGAATAAATCTTTACTGCTGTACTGTATGCTGTAAGGAAAAAGCAAAATACCGTTGGTTGCAAAAGGAACCTTGCTTCACAAATGGAACCTTGCTTCACAATCAAAACTGATAATTTTTCTTGCATTTGAGTTGAAACCAAGAAAGTTTGATCAGACTGACCCCTCAGTGGGAACATTATTTGTCAATTATTGGCAAGCAATCCCAAAATTTTTTAACATATTTTTCTAGTTGTTTCTCTAATGTGGAATAGTGGTTGACCTTTATGTTAACCCGCTTTGTATGTAACAGTCTGAGACCACCACAAGCAAGGCTGATGACTTGCATTAATGAATACTATGTCACAATATTATAAGAAAATGCTGAACAATCTGACTGTTGAACCACATTTTTTTCTGAACAGCCTTTTTTATTAATCGTGCATGCATTCTTCGAGGCATGAGGTATTAAAGGGGTACTGACACAAAATTCTGGGGCCGAGATAGCCTGCGAGATCAATTCTCGTGAACATTCGTATATCATATATCATCTGCAAGATGTCAACAGCGAATGTAGCTTGGAAGGTATTTTAAATTAATTTTGAAGTTTGCGTGAGCAAGCGACTCCATAGCACTATAGACACCCTCGGAGGTGACCCCAAGGTGACCCCCTACTTCCCTCACGTCGCCACTCTACGGTCAAGAAAACAAGTTATCATGACGTCATAGCCACCATTTTTCTTTTGCCTCGTTAGTCCTCAAAGTCTATATTTCTCGGTGGCTGGTTGCGAGTGCGTGGCCGTGGCGCACTTGGAAAGTTTTGTGTTTGGCGACATTCCGGTGCCGTTTCCTATTCGAAAGTAATTCTTGATGTGGATCGTGCGGAAGTGTGTCATAGTTCTGTGTGCTGACGTGGTTAAGAGTTGCAACAATAGGGGGCGACAGTTGCACCCAGTTTTTGGAGCTCTCTCAAACCAAAACCGCAACTGATCGATAATGAGGGGCCTGTAAATATTTATGTATTGCGTGCTGCAGCAAACAATGTGCCGTGTCATGACTAACAGCCCTACAGCAACGCATTGCAGCAGAAAAACGCAAGGCCAAATTTTTTGTTTCAGTACCCCTTTAAATCTTTTTTAATGGATTTGAAACATTGTGCTAGTATATGATCATAGAGCTGCACAAAGAAAGAATAACAGGGCACATACTGCCTTGGCCCATATATTTTTTTTCCACTAGAACACTGTTTAGTCTCAATCGCAACTGGCTGGTGCAGCTTTTCACTCATACACTGTTGACGAGAACTTAATGGCTGAAGTGGTATTTTTTTGGTCTAGTTTGGTGTTTTCGCTGAATCAGCATTATACCTATTTATTGAGTAAAGAAAAATTAGCATTTGTATTTTTTATAAATTGTGTTGCCTTATTAGTTTTAAAATAAACATAATTGACAGAAGCCTTTCTGACTGGCTAAAAATTATATGAATAAACCCTCTCCAGGGTCATTCTTAACGTATATATATATATATATATATATATATTTTTTTTAGATAATAAAATGAAAAACTGGCCCTACATTTCAAGACCAATTCAATCTCTTCTTCAGGGGGTGACTGTCCAGCTGGCTTCGAAGCTAGCAACTTTTCTCTGTGGTTGTTCCAATGTCCACCTTCGTTCAATGCATCAACAAGAACGGTGGCGGAGAAGGGGACAACCACACAAGAAAGTCGCTTGCTTCGGAGCTGGCCGGGCAGTCACTCTCTGAAGAAGAGACCAAATGGTCTCGAAACATGCAGCCTTAATAGTTTATTAGCTCTATAAAACTGAAAGGACAAGTTTTGCCAAAAGGTGGTGTCTTGTTGGATGCTTTATGAGTGATTTCCTGAGCTGTGTTTTTCATAGTGTTCATGCAAGAGAACTTTTGCTAGAAGAAGCAAATTTTGGCGATGACTTCAAGGCTAGTGCCTTTATGAAAGAGTGGAAAGACGACTCAGCTTTGATTGAATCAATGAATGGTGAGTTACCCAAGGTTAAAAATACAATACAGCAGTTGAATGTTATAAAACTGTTGCCTATTCATAGTGTTTGTGCTTACTGTGAGAACACGAGGCCTTCTAAAATGCATGTCTGTGAAGACCACTGCACTGTATAGTCTAGTGTTGATGTGCAATTTTAGAGGCAGTTGCATGAGGAAAGATATTTTATTGCACGACCCTAGGCAGCCCTAGACGTTGTGTGCCTGAAATCTAGCAGGAGATGAAGGGGAAAAAGTGTGCATGCTAGATTTATAAGTGCGGTGCTGTCCTTTATTTTTCTTTCTTTTGTTGTTTAGAGAGTGGGATTAAAGCACACTGCAAGGCTTCTTTGGCAGTATGGCATGTGCACTGAGAAGAGAAAAAACGAAAAGGCATCATGTTTTTTTTTATTATGGTACATATTTTTGCTTTGGCTGTGCATACGACCTAAGCCTGCTCAGTTTCGGCACTTTGATAGCATTAAAACTAACGTTACAAGTCTTGTACCTTTACTTTAGTTGCATCAAAATTACTATGGGGTGAAAAAGGTTTTGTCATTCCACTCAGAAATCATAGTTGGAATTTTTTGTGGTGGAATATAAGAATATTGTCCAATTAGTAAAGCCTTCTTCACTAATACATATCTTTTATATATATTTGAGTGTGCACATGTATAAAGCAGTGATAATTTGATAGCAGCTTTTTCAGCAATATGGCGTATGTGGCAGCGGAATGATACAGGTGGCTGTTAAGATAACATGATAAATGAAGAATGTTTCGTTACAGGCTGAATTAATCATAGCAAGATTAGAGCTGAATGTGTAATGAAATGTAACTGTATTTAGAAATCACAGAAGTGACATTGCAGCCCTGAGTTCTTTCTGACTTGCACTGCTTACTGTATAATTACTTTGCGTGTTTGATACCCTGAAGTGAAGATGAATATAATAGTGTAGAATACAACTTGTAGGTGAATGTGTGGCTCATTCGGCAGTTCGCATCATTCTACCTATAGTCTAAAATGACAGGTTGTATGATACCTGCAGTAGTCTACAATGACATTGCTTTGGTCTCAATGCAAGAACCTCTTATCTGCTCTTTGTTCTCGCATTTCAGATGTCTTGGCGACAGTGAAGATTGTAATGGACATGGTGTAGACATGCTATACAAATTGGCCTTCAGCATTGTGCAGCATCATGGGTATCGACGTCAGCCGTTTGAGATGCTCCTATTTGGGACAAATTGCTCAAACATTTGTAACTCTGTAGATTGTTGTGAAGAATAAAGTACACGTATTTCTCAAAGTTATTTAGAAGCATAGCATTGGCATTCTTTGGCTAAATATACTGCATCGTTTCTTCACGGTAATTGGGTACCATTGGCTTACTGAAAACTTGAGGTGCTTCTGCTGCCTCATCACGGGTGTTAGCCATGTCATGAGGAGAGCTTACTTGGACCACTAGTGAGGGCTCTTTTGAGCTTTCATGCAATCTGATGTAAAATAAATCGAGTGATAAATGGCACACTCATGCATTCACTCACGCACGCTCTCCGACGAATTCACATGACCTAAACATATACAGTGCTCTCATGTTGTGGTTGCATAAATGTGCTGATGCCTGCATGTGTGCGTGAATGTGCTGTTTTCATGATAGATTAATTTTATATCGAAATGAACTACGAACTAGCCCAACAAGTTCTTTCATGCTTTTTGGCAGCACACGAGGAAAAGTAGAAAATGTAATCACAAACAGGATTTTCGTGTGTGTCCTTTGTCCAGCCTTCCTGTCATGCTGACGGAAAGCAGGAAAGCTCGAATGACTAACCCATATTTCTGTGTGTGATGTATTGGAGATTTTAAAAAAATTGACTTTGCCTTAGTTAATGAATACGTTCAACTTCTAAATGCAAATTTACCCTTAAAACAAAGGATGTAGTACAGGGATGAAAGTGCTGTTCCAAAAAAGAAATGCTTCGCTATGTTGCTCTAAATTGCGATACTCATTACTAAGTGCGCTGAACCAGCTACTAAATGGCATGGACAAAATAAAGACAAGGATCTTTAACCGTTTGTCCAGCTGGCAAGACTGAAAGAAACCAAGATCAATCTGTATGCTGCCATCCTGGTACACTAGTGTGCCGCTTTATTGGCTGTGATCTCATTTATACAACAAGAACTGGCGTTTCAAGGAAGCTCATTTGGCTGTTCTTTTTCTTTGTTGTCAACTTCACATGCACACTATTTTGGTGGAATGGAAAAATAAATGAGATTGTTTTGACCTTATGCTAATTATTGACTGCTACTTTGTAAACAGTTATATGTTACAAAGGTTACTTCTCTAATATTGTACTCAGCCTTATTGGTTTAATATAATTTCTACCATAAGTACTGGCCTTTTAAATATATAGCTTATTTCCAGGCTCATTTGATATCCAACCATTTTATTAATTGTTTGTTTTTGAAATTTGTTGATTGTTTGTGAAAGTTCCAGCATAATTAATATTTATGGGACGGTTTGGCAGTGCTTTGAACTCCTGGAGTTGTATGGAGTATTTTGCTATCTGCTCCTAAAGCACCAATAACTGCTCCAAATTAGCTTTTTTTTTTTACTGCTCCAAGAACACTTCATATGCTTGTCCAAAGCAGTCCCTTTTCTACTGAAAAATGTGCTTGTCAAAGTGAGACGGCACTTCTGATACTATCAAAAGGAGTGGAACCTTCATTGCGTCCGCACTGATGTCTCACTTGCGAGGAAAGGGTGATTTATGTTGTTATTGTAGAACAACAAACGTCGCAATTAGCTTGACTGTTTGTGTGAAAGTTAGGAAGAGAAATTCCAATGCGAAATTCTTGTAGTACCAAATGACATAAATGTGTCACCTTGCATGCTGTGCTTGGCCTGGTTTGCGGGACAGCCACATGTGTGCCTGTGCTTTTTGGTAATGAACAAAAATGAGCTGGTAATTGACAGTGTTTTAAGCCCCAACACTACAGTGCACTATTAGATACATTGGATAATGTAAGACTAACTTAAAATACCTAATAACCTAAAATACTTAAAATATGCTTGTAAATCAGTGCATGAGTGTTTCTGCATGGTGCCCTTTTAGTGTGAGGACAGTGACCATAAATTGGACCGGTAAAATCATACTTATTCAGTCACAAGCCATAGCCACTCAACCACACCAACAGGTCTCTTTTACACGCAGCTTGTAAACCGTTTTAGAAGAGCTTGCACATTTTGGTGACATTGAAAGGGGTCCTGCAATAATTTGTCAAGTGATAGTTCATTGACTCACGGATCGACTGGCGCATTTTTTTTTTAAATCCGTCAAGTGTCAGTGGAGTTGCCAGGGCCCCGCCGCGGTGGTCTAGGGGCTAAGGTACTCGGCTGCTGACTTGCAGGTCGCGGGATCGAATCCCGGCTTCGGCGGCTGCATTTACGATGGGGGCGGAAATGTTGTAGGCCCGTGTGCTCAGATTTGGGTGCAGGTTAAAGAACCCCAGGTGATCGAAATTTCCGGTGGCCTCCACTACGGCGTCTCTCATAATCATATGGTGGTTTTGGGATGTTAAACCCCACATACCAGTGGAGTTGCGAGGATTTTTCACATGCTTTAATTGCTTTTTCGCACCATTTGTGCCAGCGATTGTGCTGGCAGCTACACAGGTGAATGATTGAGGGGAGGGGATAACAAGAGTGCCAGAAACTTCGTCTGTCTGCCCATCAGGGCGCGTCATGACGTTGAACTCCTTTTTTTTCCCCTTTCGAACGTGCGGCTTACTTTCAGTGCGATCGCGAGCGAGAGTGCGGGCATATCGTGGCATCCTGCAGCGGCCGCGCCAACTATGCAGCCCTGAAAGTTCAAATCCGTAATATCTGTAGTTTTATGTGTCGAAACCAGGATGTAATTATGAGAGACGCCGTTGTGCAGCGCTCCGGAAATTTCGACCACCTGGTGTTCTTTAACGTGCATCGACGTCGTACAGTACACGGGCCATTTCGCCTCCATCGAAATGCGACCGTCGCAGCCGGGTTCGCACCCGCGACCTTTGGATCAGCAGCTCGCAGCTCAAGTCAGCCGATGGTCGCGGACTTTGGATTTGTGGCAGAATTTGTCGAAAGAATATATAGTGAGCGATTTCTAGCCGTTTTTAAATATTTGTAAATTCCACGCCCCGTGCTGTGCTATAATCGTTGGCTCATGTCTTCTCAGTAGTGTCAACTACCGACCGGCCCCGGTTTCTGAACATGCTGAAAAGACATTGCAGGTCTGCCTGAAGAAAGCCATTTTGTTTATGTCTAAACTGGCCACAGATACCCAGAAGAAAGAAAGAAAGACAAACCAGATGGCGAGAAGGGCTCAACCCGTGGCTGTGGTTTTAGATTGAGCAATTTCGGAGATGTGTGTTGCATTAGAATGTTCATTGACTGACGAGCAGGGTCAACCCGTTTGCCAGCGTAAAAACAGATATGATATGCGGACGTACGGACAATGCCGCTTTCACCGGATAAAGAGTCATACGCTGCACTGAAATGCACATGAGACCAAGATACTTTCTGAAACCGTGGAAGCTAGCCACCCGAATATATTTGCCGCGGTGTGAGATTTTATATTTCAGCTCCTTTACTGTGCATGACTGACGCTTTGTGAAATCCTGTGAGTGCTACAGAAAACTGCACCAACTAGAATTGACGTATGAACAGAACGGCACGCCGGGGTAGTATGTATCGAGCCTGCCTGACGGATTTGCCGCAGTAGTAGGCCGCTAGTGAGTAGCGCCATCACGGCTGAACGAGACTGAATGTTTAACGTGACGATGGTTTGCAAACTTATTACGCCGTTGTCGTTACTTGCACTGTCAGGAACACGGAGTTGCTTCTTCAAAGGAACAAAATCATTTAACTTCCCATTAAGAAGCGCTTGTGTCACAGCCGTGCTCACACTCTAGCCGTGCGCAATTTACGGCACTCTGGTGTTGCATGTTCCATCAATATGATCAAAAAATGAATATCAAAGAGAATACACACGTATGCTTTTCACAACGTCGAAATTGCGAAAATTCGTCGAACAGCAACGCCGTTTGGAAGGTACAGCTGAAAGTTTCAGAGGTGTGGATTGCACTCGTAACTGCACGCACTGGCGTACCAACTCTTTCGCGAGTGGGGAGGGGCACAAACATACCTAGCTCACTTGTCAGCCGAATATTATATATATATATATATATATATATATATATATATATAAATTTCGCTATGTAGTGACATTGCCTCGTAACATTTTCATTCTTCTGTAAAAACATAATTGAGTGATTACTGTCGAGACGGTAAACTTCGCCGCGAGCCAAGAGTGGCCACTGTCGAAAGTGGGGGGGGGGGGGGCGCTGAGCTCCCCGAACTTTTCACAGTAGTTGGCTCGCGCCCTCCTTGCCCCACCCCCGCGGCTGATACGCATATAACTGCACCTTTCATCACTCTAAAGATTTCGCTTCTCTGGTCGACCTTGAGCGTGCTGGCGGCATGCGGCGCTTCATAATATCAGCAGTGACTGGGCAACATGCAATGCACAAGAAAAACTATATGCTTTTATTTTGACCTCGCTGAAGGATATTATACATTAAATACAATCAACGTGACTTACGAGCGTGACAAAACATCAGCGCACGAGGGTACGTGAACTGCAACTCGCTCCTTGTGAATTTGCAACTGATGGTTCATCCTCACTGTCCATTCTCAGTGCGTTCGCAGCCTTCTATGTTTGGTGAAAAATCCCTGTCGTCAAGATGGTTTCTTTCAACGTCACCGCTGTAAGCAATCTGCGGAATTCTTTCTGCTGAACGACTTCTACAACACCAACACTGCGTCACTGACCACGTTTATCTGGGCGCGGAGAACATTTCGATTTGAAAACCGTCAACAAGCGAATCGCTCGCAGTGTGCTGCCGTGTATCAACAAATGTACAAAAACGAGCGGCGCAGCGTTGAGCAAGTTTTCGAAGAGCAAATCGCGAGCCCGCACGCATTGCTATGGGGTTCATGCACTACAAAAGCACTGGGGTGATTCCACGAGAGATCGACACGGGTCCAAAAGTTGATATTTTAGATTTCATTGAGTATTTTATATTTCGTGCACCTCTCACCAGGTAGTTTGAAAGTCAACTTCGTTTTATGATTAACGGCATCAACTTACGAGAAAAAAATATCAAACTTCACCATCACGGATGCACCAATTTCGTCACCTGTAGTTTTCGAAAATTGCAGATGCTATAAAACACAAATATTTTTGTTTCAAGGAAGATATTTTTT